CCCCCCCCGACAAATCAATTAACGCATCCACCAGCCTCCGTTTTACCTCAAGCTGAATAAACTTAACTAATACCGCATTTTGAACCTTAACAGACTGCAAGTGCATCCAGGCTGTTGTTTTAGGGGCTTAGTGGATTAGGTTAATAGATGTATAATTGGTAGCAGTGAGAAGGAAGTTTATGTTAGGTTTGTATAGACATATATATTGATTTTAGGGTTAACAAAGGTCACTGATGGAAAATATGCAATTTATAGGTATGTGTTTAGCTTTATTCACCTTGATAATCAGGATGATAATAAATATAAAGATAATATGACCTCTTTTCGGTTTCTTAAACGCGTTTTCCGTGTCTCTTTAGAAAATCAGGTAAAAACTCACACGCAGTGGATTAGATTTTCAAACATTTCAGTAATCAAATTTGAGTTTCATACTCTAATCCAAATCTAGATCATTCATTTCGAGCCATTTGCCAGTTTTCAAAAATGAAAAATCGCATTTTTTTACATGTTCTTCTTCTCTCGCTCTGTTCGACCCAAGGTCGCAGCCATGCACGTACTAGACAGTGTTTACTAATAGATACCGCGCGCCAAAATTCTTTTTTTTAATTTTTGGCAGAAAAGAGCTTTTTAAAGCTAAAGTTTCTGTTTTGAAAGTAAACCATTCTAGTCTTGTGTGCTAGGTCGTTATATTAGCGGCGCTTGCATGTTAGTAGAACTCGTTAATATTGTCCGGCAAACTAGATTTGCGATACACTAGAAAAATCTTAAAAGAATAGTGATGGAATTCGGAAAAAATATCGTTCTGGAAGCTGGAACAAACACAAAACTTCTCACAATTTTTTTAATGTGAATTCCGACTTCCTGAGTGTTATCTTTTTTCGTTAATTTTTAAATTCAATTTTCTCACACAATTAGTTGGCAAATTATGGTTCGTATTTTTTGTGCTCTAATTTTCCCGCTCTTTTTAATTTCCTTTACATCAATTCATTTGCGACTTTACAGCTTTATATTCTTTTAGTTCTAAACACCAAACTTGCTCATGACAAACGAACCGACTGTCTTGCCGAAAAAAATGCAACTTTTAAGCTCCTAAACCGTTAAGTAGAGYTGAGTGTAATATAAACAGCTTTATTAGCACTTGAAAAACGAGAACAATTCGAGAAATGTTTGAAAACTTACTAGACGAAGACAAAACATCCATAAAACCTGATTTGCATTAAGCGTGCTTTTATCGATTTTTTTTTTTTTTTTGGCTTGGTTTTACGATAAATTCAATCTTTAAAAAAGAGTGAAAAAACTTTTAAAAAAAACACTTCAAGTTGTTCGTCACTTTTTTAAATGTATACTGTAAATCATCTGAGAGCCCATTGAGCCAATCGAAATAAGATTTATTAGTTTTGATCAGTCGGTGTATTTGAACTCAGTGCATTGAAACTTTATACTCGGTGGTAGGAAACACTAGAGAGTTCAGGAAATTGTAACTTGAAAAAAAACTTGAAGTGATCAGGGTTCGAGCGTTCCTCAATGTAATTTGAAAAATGAATTTAAAACAGACTTTAGGTTTCAAACCTTTCAAGGTAGTCCTCAAGAATGTAAACGAGGGAATGATCATCTGAGTGCGTTTTGTAGACATAAATAAGTATTTGAACTTAGAAAACTAATATATAACTCAACAACAAAGCCAAACAAAGGCAGCTCTTGCACCGTCAAAGAAACTATTTATCTTCATGAACGAATAGTCCAAGTTAAATGCGGCATTTCTTCATAAATTTAATGCTCAAACCTTTCATCGTTTTAAGTTTTAGCCTTAACTTTAGGCCATTTTAGATTGGCATAGTTTTTACCCATTTCAAACCACGTGTCTTTCCTTTGAAAATAAGATTATTTGTTTGAGTTGTTTCCATATTCATGAGTTTTCTCATGCGCAATCGCTAGACAAAGAAAGGATACTCTAGGGAATGACATGTGGTCAGGAATGAGAAGACATTACACCTAAACTTATTGCGTCTATAACAATCCGAAAGTTCCGTGCACTGTATATTTTAGAGTCATTTAGCACCGGCATTCAGATAGGGGAAAAAGCCGCTTTACAAAACCCAGGCAACCCAAGTCCTCATTGTTTACAACAGCAGAATAAATTATTGATTTTCTCCGAAAATGTAAAAACATATCATTCATCACCCTAGCAAGGTATCTTTTTTTCCTCTTGGAAATCTCCAGACGATGTTACTATATTTAAGCATGTTTTCTTCAAACAAAGTTCAAACACATAAAATAAAGACTTCATATTTGACAAAGTTGATGATGATTTACTTACCGATATAATAGGCTGGATCCCCATAGATCCCTCCCTTGGGGGAATAATGTGCCTGTGAAATACTATCAGCTGGATGTGACATCATGTCTTCTGTGCCTGGAGAATATACCTGTGAAGAAATTTCAAAACAAACTTTTAGACTAAACAAAATCAAGAGATGAACACTAAAGAAAATTATTAGGAAGGTCGAAAAGTTTCATCCCTTGGGCAAGAAAATTCMGAGCAAATTTTATATGGCTTTTCAAAGGAATTCAAAATAAACATTTGTTTAACCAATACCAATAGATATTTCACCAGAATGCGAATTTATGCTGGGGAAAACAATCCACCATTCTGTATTTCTAAGCTTCCCCCACAATTCCAAGCGAAACGAACTCGAAAACGTGATATAAAGAAACAGAGTTCCAGCGCGTAGCGTGCAGAAATGTTGAAAACTTTAACCCGGAAATAGTCGGACTTTCACGCTTTAATTAAGGCAATAATCATCATTAAATAAAACCAAGATTTTCCCCTGTGGTGTACGACTTCAAAGATCGATTTTTAAATTTGATTTTCGTTTATATATTTATTAGTGTGATAACTCTTTTAAGATGATTATGTAATTGAATATTTAAAATCTACATAAAGTTGTAAAGATGATGTAGATAGAGCAGAGAAAAGCAAATCCGCGAAATTAAAATGTCAAAATAAATAAATAAATAAATAAACAAACAAATAAATGAATAAAAATAAATGAATAAATAAAGTTTGCAAAAGGTAAAGTGAAATGTAGAAAACAATAACAATAACTCGTTTCTAAGCTTCGCGTATCCACGAGTTAAAAATCGTAACGACATCAACAACAAGTTGTTATAATAGATTCTGGAACATAAATTTTTCACTACTTAAAGTTGTACGAATAATGATAAAGAACAGTGTTCTTGAAATTTTGGTACTTAAATCTGCACGTTTATCGTGGGTGTTTTAATCATAGCCCACGCGTTGCCGTAAGGATAAAAGAAAACTCTACGTCAATCATAAAGTTAAAAAGCTCGAAAATTTGTAAAGTCGCCAAGAAGACTACGATTTCGGGACCAGCTTTTCGAGAAAAGTTGAAAGCTGTAAATGTACTCATCGTTAGGAAAGAGAAAATGCTTTGATACTTAGAAAATATTTGTTATGAGAATCAGGTTACTTTGGGTAAGAGAGTTTATGGTAATACGTTTTAGATTTAAATCGATGTATTAGAGAGTTTTAGATTTACTTTCACGGTAAACGTGAAACATAAGTTGACCAGTAAAAAATTATTTTCAATGACTGAAAAAGAATCGCAAAAAAGTTCAAGTATTAGAAAAACAAAAGAGTATTTGCGCTTGGTGACAAGGTTGGTAAACAGTAAAGTAAAATACAGGAAAACTATGAAAACGTGGTCACGTTTGCCGTTTGCGGGGAGAAAAAAGGCAATCTAAAACTCTCTAATGTGTGGCAGTATCTAAACTTTAAGCAGCAAATTGATATTTCTATAAGACTCAAATTCTTTCAAAATAGAACTTCACTTATAGTCGCTGTATGCAGAGATTTAAAGTTCACTCTATTAGTCATAATTTTTCTTGCGTGTGATCACCATTTTTAGAAGACGACGTTAGAACAGAAATAATTTCTTCGGTTTTGTTTTGTCTATGATACCCGAAGTACCTAGCGATAAAGCATCAAAAAGAAAAGACGAGAGGGAATAGCACTTGATTTGCAACAAGGGCCAGTCCTTGAAAATTCGTAAAATTAAGCCGCAGTCGGCTGAGCACTTCATAAGACGCATAAACCATCAACGAGGTAAAATTCGACTCGTGCAGCGAGAAGCCAAGAATAAATCACCCTGAAAAAGAGTGATCTATCCAATAACACTTCATTCATTGATGTGTTGGATACTCGTATAGTAAATAGCTATAGGGATATTCTCTCACTTCGATTATTTCATCGCGGTTGGCACATGGTAAATATCATCTTGTATATGGGTCAACGGCACTATACGATATAAGATCACATGTGGCGTGAAGTTAAGGCAATCTAGACAACGCACCAAGCCAGAAACTCCAACCAAACCATCTTACTTCCTCCATCAAAAGAAATAGAGACGTATTTGAGAAGTTCGGGTCCTATTTTAAGATTTCCGAAGGATAAGATGTCTGCAGTTCGAGATATGAGCAAGGACTGAGGTGACATTAGACAAACAAACACGGAACCCTCATATTTCGAGATTTTCTTTCTGTGATTTCATGGAAAGGACTCTAACCTACCTTTCCCCGGCCAGGATAGGGTAAAATTGCTCTCTGGTGAGGATATGGTGCTCTCCACATCTTAAATCTTTCCTTATTTTTCCAAATATAATAACATCAGGCCGAAGCTGGTCTGGCTTTCTTAATTCACTCCCAGAATGCGGCGGTGTGAATTCTCCAAAGATATCGTATTACGAGTAACTTGAGCAGTTACACAAGACAATGAAATAGTTAGAAATAGTCGCCAATCAAGTATGGCTGCTTTTAATTGGCATATCAAATGACTTGGCTGACATTGAGAAACGACAGAGCTTAATAACGCCATGAAACCTTACTCCACGCGGGCCTTGCATTCACCAAAGGAATGTATTCCAAAGTAAAACTTCAAAACCAGCTGTGGTTGATACGGAGTCGAATAGCTTTTCATACTTTGAACTTAATACTATTGTCAAATGAAACTACTGCTCTAAGTGTTGGTAAACTATCAAAAAACATATCTTTGACTTAGAATTGGCTCACAAAGCTACACGTAGATTATCAATCAACATAATTTTGATTGTAATTGAGTTAAGAAGTCATTACCAAACTGCTACGGCAACAGCTATCAGTCAAAAACATCTTAAAATTAGATTTTTGGTGTCTTGACCTTTGGAATTAACTTTGAATACGAGGTTTAAAATGCACTTTCATGTCAGCATAAACTTCACATAAAGGAGATTTTTATGACATTGTAATAACCAATCGTGTAAGCCTTCTTTATCAAAAGGAGTCGTTTTTGCGGTGATCCCTTTCGTATCTATACGGGAGGTACATGAAGCTTTTAGCAGATAATCATTGACCAGAAGTTTTGGCAATTGGTTTTCAACGGCATACTTCACGAGAGTAAAAGTCTTTAAAAAATCTGATAGGAGTGCTGAGGCCTTTTGACAAGTTTAAGGCGTCAAAAAGGAGGGGAAATCTAGAATGGAAAACAGGATTAGAACCGGTTTAAACTTGGGTCGATCGATACTGCTGATCGATGGCCGAGGGCTTGATGATTGCCGCCCGAAGAAACTTTCAAAACTTGACTTAATGTTTTTGATCAGTATATAATATTTTGTTATTTTCACAGAAGAGAGAGAGAGAGTGAAACAACATGAAACAAGATAAATGTTATGAGTAAAATCGCGAAGAAAAGTAAAGTCATAGGAGAAAAAGAATAGGGGAAAGCCTTTTTTCAGTTTTCTGCTAACCAGCCAAGTTTGTAACACACACTTTCCAGTACTCCAGTATTGGCCATTTCCGGTCAGACCCCGGGGTCAGACCAACTTCACTTTATTTCCAAGGGTCGTTCGCCCGGAATAACCTCGTTCCCAAGCACTATAACTTATCTATATTTTCTATATCTTGTATTTCATAAGTGCTACGCGGTCCACATATTCTCAACTTCACGTCAGTTATCGGATCAGTACTAAATAAGAAAGGTCTATCAAGGGCACATTTTCATGAGGGACCTCATATGGTAGACTAGGCACATCTTATAGGGAGTTATCATTGATAAGTTTTCACGATTGTACTAATTTGTCTCTACATATATGTATTATTGCCCTATGGGCACATCTAAGAACACTTTACGCAGCGTTTTTATACGATCCTATACGATTATCACAAGGTCCACCTAGGTACGCTACTCCTATGAAGAAATAGTCCCCTTTGGCACATATTCGAGCAGGSTGCTCTGCGTAAGGTTCATCATCATGTCGGTCACTGTCCCTCAATAAGCAGACAGTTCGTTCAAAGAAGGAATACAAAGACGACAAAAAAACACCAATATTTTGCAAGTATATGACCTAAGAAAGACTATTTAATCCAAGCTTGATAAATATTTATCAAAATATGCCTTTTTTCCGATGAACAGTTTGATGGAGAAGCCGATGTAAAACTCTACAAGACTCTCGACGTTGCTTCACTCTTAACTGAGTTTAGCTCAAATGGTTAGTAAAACCTTCAGAATACCTTATAAATATCTTGAATTCAGATCAGTAGGTGATTTGAAAACATAAAGTTCTTTATAGTTTATCAAAATATTTCAAATCAAGCTTATATCAACTGAACTACAAAAAGAACTTCAATTAAATAGATTCAAAACTATTTTCAAAGTTCATTGCCGTCGAAAAAGATAAAGCTTGTGGCTGTTTTTTCAATCCTTAGAACTATTTTTGAATGGGTTTTAAGAACCGTAAATGATCATTTCAGTTATAATTAACTACATATGAAATACCTAAAGGGAGGAGACAATGAGTCAAAGTACTTAAAACTAAGAAGGGGGGAAGGGGGTGGGGATTTTACCTCCTCATGAGGGGGGGCTAAAATTTTAGTATGTTTAATGTTTGTGAGTGGGGTAAATTTTTAAGGCACCTCAGGTATTTCTTAACACCAGCCCCCTTAGGCATTTATTATACATAGACGTTCGTACTGTATGACTGGGGTTTTATATATGCCCATAGCCGATCCAGTCAAACATCTGTAAATTTGTCAATTGAAATCAACTTATGTTTTTTCGGTCACAACTGACATAATGAATCTTAGTAGGGTTACTATAGTAAAGCTGCTCTTTCTAGTACTGACCGGTTTTTCTTGATTTAAATTTAACTCATTTGAATGTGCTGTCGCCATTTCGGCAAAGGGTCTATCTGATAATAACACACTTTGCTCTTATAAAACACTAAAACTCTAGTAAACCAATCATTCTATTTATAGCAAGGGGAATGAGCGCCTTCGCTCTCCCCTCTGTTTTTGATTAGCTATACATTTCCGGAGCCCTCCAGCTTTGACTAGATAAATATGTTTGATGTGCTAGCTTCTATGATAAAGGTCTTGGAATTTCTCTTCATATCCAATCTTTTCCCTCTCCAATAGATATGAAGATATGGGACATTGGTTGTCTTAAAAACAGCCTTTTTTTCTGTCTTAATTTATGTGATCTAGGATTTCAGCAAATAAGAATCCTCCAATGCATAATAAACCATGTATAGCACGGCAAGCTATCACGATTGGAGACAAAATAATCTTAGTAAAAGAAATATGGCTGACATTTTTGAGAACTCATTTATTTTCAGTCATCTTTTTTTCTGACAGCCATTATAAACCCTTATTATTATTGTGCTGTGATAAGCAAAGTATTTCACTTACCGATGAGATTGAGCCATTGTTTTTGTTTGGTTTGTATTTCCTTGATGACCTCCCTGTAATAAAACAAAACATTTCATCTTAACTTCACAATCATTTTGTTTCTACTTCTATTCAAAAGAAAGAAAAATAAAAACAAAAATTAAGTTTTTGATATTTTAATTCATATRTGGAAGTCAAAAATAAAATCTTGAATAATAGCCGCTGATAATAATCGCTTGTCATGCACAAAGGTTTCAACGCCAGTCTTCATGCATAATGCTCAGTGATTCGAGGAAGGAAAAAAGAATAAACTTAATTTCCAATGAAGCCTCATACTAAAACCTTTGTGTTTGACAAGCACATCTCGGAAGTGAAGTATTGGATTTAAAAAAAAAAAAAAAATTGAGGAAAATTTCATAGAAAAGGGGTTAAATTCAATTTTAACAATCTTTTCAGCTTGCGTGACAAACCAAAGAAGCAGTGCGCACAGGAGCCCTTGAAAATAACTAGTTACTTACAAAATTGAGTCCGTTTTGGGAATAAAATTTAGTAACTAGTTATTTTCAAGGGCTCCTGTGCGCACTGCTTCTTTGGTTTGTACTTCTTTTGTTTTTTCTATACTGCATTTAATGCAGTATAGTCACAAAATAAAATGTTTGAAATAAAAATGCATACTTCAATATACACCCTGTAGTACACCATCTGATTTTATTATTAGCTTGATTATAAACAGATTAACCTATTAATATGTACTTACAGTCTGAGCTTGATAATGTAACATCACTACCACTTCCCTGGCAAGAGGAAATAATAGCGACTCTTAGTATTTGATCATAAAAAAATATTATAAAATAACTGTTGTAAATCTGGTATTGGTTGGTTGTATGCACTTTATGAGAGCACACAGCACACCCACACTCTTTTAGTTGCATCCCTTATATTTAAAATAATGGTTATTGTAATTTGTATTTTATAAAAGAAATAGAAAACTTGCTTGCTGTGCTGTGTGGAGCTATAAAGCACTTGGATTGCAGAACACTCTCCTAACACTCCTCTTGTGTTCAGCCAACCTCTCATGCTTTATAACTCCACACAGCACATGTGCACATTTTTTTTTCAATTATTTATTATTTATATAACAAAATACATAAAAATATAATCTAATGCTCAAACAGAGGGTTTTCCAAAGACTCTGTTTCTCAAAATAGTTGAATGGACGTATAAATAAATGAAAGGGTCAATATAAGTTAATCCTGGTTTCTGATTGGCTATGCTACACACTGTACTATACATGTAGTTCTATAAATATACCTCTTTATACCTTCATATGCAAATTGCCCATTTCAAACCACATGACATTATTATGAATTATTGTTTTATGATGAACATTTACGTATGAAAGAATCAATAGACGATTTGCACTAACAGGTCACGTTACCCTACCTTTCTTAAAATGAGCAGTTTTGTTAAAATAAAAAACAGAAATGAAAAGAGCATCTCAGCATTAGTAGGGAGGCGGAGCTCATTATGAGCRAAACAGGAGAAATGGCATTAGATATGAAATTGAATGTTTTATAAGGATTTGTATGGGAAAATGCGCTGGATGGCAGAAGCTAACCAGCCAACACTTTTCCCATACAAATCCTTGTAAAATATTTGATTTTATATTCTATAGTCAATATTTCGAGCTGAAACTTTGCCGTCTTACTAAATTATGCTCTTTTCATTACTGGAGTTCATTTTGACTCATGTGGTCTTTTTAAGAGGGATGGGGTCACATGACCTGTTAGTGCAAGTCATCTATTTCCAAGAGTATCACATGGCATCACTGTAATGGGGCAACRAGCAATTCACCTTTTCGGTGATAGCCATGACATCGTAAACACTTTGTTGGATTGTGTTATGGTCACCAAAAAGTTCAGACATCGTTTTCGGATTCCTATACAAATTCACCGAGTTTAATGAGAAAATTTAGGCAGATTTCTTTAGTTAGCTATCTTAACAGCAGTAAGAAAAGCTTCAATCAAGCTAGAAAGATGATATTTTACTTGTATTTAGAGAACTAACTAAACAAACCAAGTAAAATTAATAGTTCATTTAAGGTCAGTACATTTGTACGGAAATTCGAAAACAATGTCCGAACTTCTTGGTGACCATAACACAATCCCACACAATTTATACCATGTGACGGCTAGTGCCGAAAAGGTGGATCGAAGTGAAGAGGTCTATTTGCTACCAACTTGCAGAGAGCACGTCAAATAAACATGGCCCCTGCGTGGTGTTACAGTAGTAACTCTACCTGAGTTGATCCTAAGCCAGGGTCTCTGTATCCTGGTGAATAGGATGATGAGTAAGGATCTTTTGACTTGCCTAAAATAACAAGCAGAAAAAGGAGTTATAAAGTGTGATTGTATGTGTCATATCCTAACTTGAATACCATAGACAATGTTTCTATGTCAAGAACATGTCAATTTACAGTGTTGACACTTGAACCACACCCTAATTCATCTACTGACACGCCTACTTTTGTTACAGCAGTCGGCATTCCATCTTTCATGTAATACAGTGAATACCTTACTGGCAATGTACTAGATCCAAGAAAGTGACAAAAGTAGGTGTGTCAGTGGACAACTTTGGGCGTGGTAGCGAGACAAATTTTTGATGTCTTGCCACAGTTTGGTGAGATCTGTAGTATTTCAAAAAAAATTTGTCATCGCCAAAGGCAATAGGCAACAGGCAGATCCAAGAATAGCTGAATGACTTGTGTTTCTGCTTCTTATTGTTGTCAAGAACATGGACCTTAGTGTTAAGACTGATTCAATGTTGTTTGTAGTCGACAAAACCATTTCGTCTGGGAACAACTTATCGCCTATCGCCTTTGGCGATAATAACGTTTTTTGAAATAGGTGTATACAACTAATATTCAATTACATCTAGGTGACTACAGCTAGCTTTAGGCTGACTGCAGTTAGGCATACATTGCATTGTTTCCTGATCGAAAAAAGGATGAATCCCATCAACCAACACACACTCAATGCACTTGAGTTTTGAAGCGGCCAATATGAAAAGCTAAATTTTAGTCATAAAAGTAAATATGACCTATTCTTAATGCACAAGTCAAGCATGTTAACCTTAAGCTCTCCATGTAAGGTTGCTCTGACTTTTATGTTAATTCTATTGTTCTCGATTCTCATATTTAAAGCTCACCGCTAATTAGTCTTACATCCACTGATGATGGCAGAGGTCAATGCCAAAATATGTATGTTAAACTCAAAAGTGTAGTTCTGTTTTTAAAATGCTTAACTTCACTGATCACCTTCAGACCATTTAATAACATAAATAGCCTGCATGACAGTCTTAACAACTTATAAGATCTAACACGACCTTCTCCCATAAAGCCTCAGTGGCCAAGCAGTTGAGATCTCRTCTAGCAAACGAGAGGTCAGTGGTTCGAGTCCCGTGAGAACCCAACTGAGGCAGATTTTTTAATCTGCTTATACACTTGATGTACCATACACTTAACATACAACTTATAAGTAGTCTATCCTATAATTGCTTCCAGTTTAAAACTAGTAAAGTTAATACAGTTCCTAATGTTCCTTTGTAGACTGTTTCAGCAGTGCTATTGTGGAAGGTTCCTATACAAAGCTACACTTTAGAACTTTCTTGAAAACTGATTCGCAATCTGATGGGCCCATGAAAAGTAAATGTCTATCCTACCAACAATCTTCCAACAACCTGCTGATAACCTCTAAACACTTTTGATTTTGTTTTTGGGGTCGATTCTTTAAAGTCTGTTACCCTATAATCATTATCAACCCAACCATTGCATGATCAATCAAGCAAATCCATGAAAGGTTGTAATTGTCAAAGTTAAATAATGGCATACTATATTAAATACTTTACACACAGCCTCAAGACTTATAAATAGCTTTTTGATTTGCACCAGCATGAGCAGCTCTTCAAATTTTATCCATGAATTATCCAAGCTTACGACTAACACTTGATGTCTTAGTTTCATGGCTTTAATCATGACTTGACACCCAGGGGGTGTACTCGGGTGGGTAACATGAYGGGAAGGTCCGACATATTTTTTTGGGTTGACAATTTTCGTTCTGGGTATTTTTTTGGGTCAAGAGACCTGAGCCACGTATTTTTTTAAGTCTTGAAATGAAACCCGTATTTTTTTGGTTGTCACATCTCCAATTTTGATTTTTGTATCAGAAAATTATTTGTTTATTTTTTCAGCAAGGCATGAGTGAGTTCCATAAACTGAATTCAATAAATCAGTTTTGAAGTATTTAAGTCTTGTATTTTTTTTGGGTCAGAAATTTGGATGCCATGTATTTTTTTAAGTGTAAAATTTTAGGTTTGAGTATTTTTTTTTGGTTGCAATATGAAGCTCCATCGGTTTTTTTAAGTGTAAAATTTCAGGTTTGAGTATT